TCGATGGTTTTCTTTTTCGGGGAATTGTCAAGCAAGAACGGGAGGGGGAGAAGAGACTACGTGCAGACAACAGCTGCAGCAACGGTTAAAAACGAAGAAAAAAGGAACGGGAGGGGGGGGGGGGTTAGGGGGCTGATTAGCCCAGCTCGTGCGCTAAAGTGTTAGCACAGAATGGGTGAATGAAGCGTATAAAAGTGAGGAAAGATCTGATGTCATGCCGAAGTTTCAAAATCTATACTGCGAGTAATTATTGGCATCAACAAATTTTTATTTTAGCTGTCAGAGTCCCCTCCTATACGCGCACTCGCTCGAGCAATGGTACGTGGAGGAAAAACAGTCCAGGACAAGCTCGGTAACACGGAAGTTGCTTCGCGACTGGAGAAGTTTACAAAGCTCTACCAAGAAGAATTCCAGAAAGCACTGAAAAAATAGCTCGAGTGAGGTGTATGCAGTCATAGAATAATATGGGTAGTAAATAAAGAATTCTGATCAAGTGCAAATAATATTCAATTCAATGAGAAAGACATAGTGGCCGTGAGTTGCCCTTAAACGTCAACCGCAACATTGAAAGTGAAATTCAATTTATATTTATTGTATGTTTTATTATCAATCTTTCCATCGATGACCACATTCAGCATTTGCACAACGATAAAATATTGTCATCGGTTCATCAGCCGATCGCGTTTGTATTTGCATGAAATACGCACGATCATTTGAACATTTTGGACACCTCTCATTTGTCACCTGTAAAAGAAAAAATTAAGCAAATCCAAACACCAAACTAGCCTCATACCAACATTTTTGAATGACGGAAAGCATTTTCCATAAGTCAATCTAAAAATTAGGTGGATCTGAAACTGCTTGAGCAGAATCCAAATCAAAATTGAGCATCAACTAGCAAATCCTCAACAGAATCATACTCTTCCTGTGAAGGTGGAATTAGCCGACTATTCATTTCCGAGAATCGGCCGGGGGGACTGCACAACCACGCCCACTTCGGAGCTGTTCGGCTCCCTTTCTAGCGGCTTTCCAAGGTGAGTTTTTTGTTCAGTCACACTTCTTATGTTCTTGACTAGGGCTAGCGCATTCCACACCATTAGTGTCGAAGGTAAAAACCCTGCTGGAGACTTTGCTTTAAAGCAACAGTCCCAGCAGGGTGGGCGTGGTCGGAAACGACTGCAATCCCCTCGGCCGATTCCGACCACGCCCACTTCAGCTCCCTCCCTAGCGGCTTTCCAAGGTGAGTTTTTGTTCAGTCACACTTCTTACGTTCTTGACTAGGGGCTGAACAGCTCCGAAGTGGGAATCGGCCGAGGGGATTGCAGCCGTTTCCGACCACGCCTACTTCAGCTCCCTTCCTAGTGGCTTTCTAAGGTGAGTTTTTGTTCAGTCACACTTCTTACGTTCTTGACTAGGGGCTGAACAGCTCCGAAGTGGGAATCGGCCGAGGGGATTGCAGTCGTTTCCGACCACGCCCACCCTACCGGGACTGTTGCTTGAAAGCAACAGTC